CAGCAGGAATTTAGTATGAGATTGAGAAAGAAAAAAAAAATGTAAAGTTGGGCGAATCATCTTTAACCCCAATGTTCCCACAGGCAAAATATACATATATGATACCAAATCCTAATCATAATTAATCATGTTGTATAATGAAAAACATAAAAACACACGTTAGACACACACATCTGGTATATTTCATAGCTTTAATTAAAGCGAGAGAGAAGAAAAAAAGGAAAGGTGAATTTAAAATTGGGATTACCTGAAGTAAACGCCTAAGTGGTCTTGGTGGGCCACGAGAAGCATGAGAATGGTGCCAAGGTGTTTGCCTCCATGCCACTTTCCCATCACTCCCGGCACTGATTTTGTAGCCAGAAACAACCAGCTCCAAGCTCCACAGTTCTGGTTTCTTCTGCCACACAACAAACCCCCCCACTTCACCCTTCATCTGCACCTTCTTCACCATCTTCTTGCTACTCACACATTCTTCCCCTGCTGAAAACTCTGAAGTCCCTACTCTCACCTCCCCCATTGCATACATGCTTTCCACCCTATTCAAACCACTCTCCCCTCCCACAGCCGCCACGTACTGTTTCACTATATATTTCGCCATCGAAGCCTCCTTCACAACACACAATCAAAGAGTTAAAATTCAGATACATACACATATATCTACTCAAATTATCATAAATCTTTGTTATAAAAAAAAAAAAGGGAAAAACTTAGGATAATAAAAATTTATGTTAAAGATCAACATAGATAATTGAGATGAAACTTTAATTCTAATAGGAAAATACCATAAGAAAATGTATCTAAATTTTGTAAAAAAGAAAAAAAAAAGAGTGTTGGTGTTGGGTTAGTCATTACTAACAATGTTGTGGGATTTAACGTTGATGGGTTGGTTGTGAGAGGTGATGGGGAGAGGGATCAATGGGGCTCCCACAACACCGAGCAAGAGTTGGATGTCTCCGAAGAGTGAAGATGATCTTGAAGATTCAACGTTTGGCTTCATCCATGACTTCATGTTATGCCAAGCTCTGCTGGGTCCGCTCTTGATAGTGAAAATCTCTTCTGGGATGGGAACCTCAAGCACCGTTTCCAGCCCATCCTCGCGAGTAAGATTGGGACAGAGTTTCCTCATAGCAGAAACTAAAGAAAACGTATTTTGGTGGATTTTGGAAATAGCATGCACCCAAGAAAGACTTTGGAGATAAAAAAAGGGAGGAAAAATCTTGAATTAAAAGGGAGAAGGAACTTGGTATTGGTAATAGTTATTTGGTGTTGAGTATGTAACTTTGGAAAAAGATTAACAACCAAACTACGGGGAAGGGACCCTCACTTGTCTATGTCGTCGTGTTGGCACGCTTCTCACACTATATAACTTGTTATGCCCAACTTAACTTACGGTTTCCATTTTAAATTAAGGTACTTGTTTCTAGTATAATTTTAAGATTCCACTGTCAGCTTATTTATTTAATTTTTTTTTTCTAAAGGGGACATGCTAAGGTAGGTTGTTGAGATTAAGTAAAGTCTGGTGCATTTATCTTTATTTATCTGGCAGAAAATGAAAGCCCAAAATCGTTATAAAAGTCCTCCAGTTCATACCTTGTTAGTTTTCCTTTTCTTTAAGCATAAAATTATATGTCTCGGTATAAATTTATAATTTTTTTTAAATCACTTATCTCCTTTAAAATAACATTATTATTTAAAGTGAAAAAAAAGAGAAAAAATAAAAATTGATTATATATGTGTCCATCTTTTATTTTGAACTACTTATAGCACTGTTAACTTTATAAATTTGTTACTATTTTTTAATTTTAAAAATAATAATTTTTATTTTATTAAAACTGTTTCTTGAAATTGTTATAGTTTTTAAATCACAATAAGTATGATATTTAGGATATAATATTGACTAAGAGAACAAATCTTATTCAATGGTTAATACTTGAATTAATAATTTGTTATCTCAGATAAATAATATTATCTATATAAGAGGTTGTATATGTCACTTAAATAAACAAATAAGGGAGATTGTGTTCACTTAAAAACTAAAGAGATGTTTCATTTAAAAAGATTCTAAGGGAGGTTAGTAAAATTTTTTCATTAAAAAATGATACTAATCTATCAAGTAATTTAGAGGCACACCAATTTTATTTTGGTAATCCGTTTATTAATGAATATATGCAAAGTTCTAGTATTGTACCTCACCAATATCAATTTATTTCTCAAATAAAATCAATTAAGACAAAATAGTGTTAAAGATAAAGTTAAAACACTTAGGCATATGAATAAGTAATTATTTTCTCCCTTATTTTTGTTTGTTTTAGCAAAGAAAAAAGACATGTCCTATACTTTCCTTTTTGTAATCGATAAATAAATAAACATATGCAAAATTTTGATAAACTATATTACAAATATTAATTTGGTTTTCATATTAATTTAATCAAAGATAAAATAAAGTGTTGAAAATAAAGTTAAACGATTTTAAATTATTCACACGTGAATAAGTAACTCATTTTTTACTTAATAATGTTTGTTTTAATAAGGAAAGACGATATGTGAGTCTTGCAATTTCTTTATCATAATTAATTAATAAAGGATCATATGTAGAGTTCTAGTAACATATACATATGGTTCTCAAATCAAATCAATCAAAACATAATAATGTTTGGAGATGAAGTTAAATGCTTATACACATGAATGAATAACTCGTTTTCTCACTTATTTATGCTTGTTTTACTGAAAAAAAAAAAGAAAACATGTGAGCCCAATAATTTCCTTTTTGTAATTGATTAATAAAGGATCATATGCAGAGTTCTGGTAACGTACATCACCAACACCAATATGGTTCTCAAATCAAACTAATCAAAACAAAACAGTCTTCGAGATGAAATTAAAACGCTTACACATGTGAATAAGTAACTCGCTTCTCACTTATTTCTGCTTGTTTTGGTGAGGAAAAGAAGACATGCGAGTCCTACGATTTCTTTTCCAATATTAATTAACAAAGAAACATAGGCAGAGTTTGGGTAACGTACATCATCAATACCAATATGGTTTTCAAATCAAACGAATCAAGACAAAATAGAGTATTAGAGATGAAGTTAAAATGCTTATGCATGTGAACAAGTAACTCATTTCTCACTAGGTTCTACAATTTTCTTTTCATAATCAATTAACAAAGGAACTTGTGTAGAGTTTTAGTAACGTATACCACCACCAATATGGTTCTTGAATCAAACAAATCAAGATGAAATAGAGTGTCAAAGATGAAGTTAAAACGCTCACGCAAGTGAACAAGTAACTCCTTTCCCACTTATTTATGCTTGTTTTAGTGAAAGAAAAGGCATGTGAGTCCTACCATTTCCTTTCCATAATCGATTAACAAAGGAACATGTGCAGAGTTCTAGTAACGTGCACACATCACCAAAACTAGTATGATTTTCAAGTCAAATGAATCAAGACAAAATAAAGTGTTGGAAATGAAGTTAAAACGCTTAAGCACATGAATAAGCAACTCATTTCTCAATTATTTATGCTTGTTTTAGTGAAGAAAAAATGACATGTGTGTTCTACAATTTTCTTTCCATAATTGATTAACAAAGGAACATTTGCAAAGTTTCAATAATGTACATCACCAGTACCAATATAACTCTCGATTCAAGCAAATCAAGACAAAATAGAGTGTCGGAGATAAAGTTAAAACGCTTATGCATGTGAATAAGTAACTCATTTCTCACTCATTTATGCTTGTTTTAGTGAAGAAAAAAGACATATGGGTCCTACAATTTTCTTTCCACAATTAAACAAAGGAACATATGCAGAGTTTCAGTAACGTACACCATCACTAATATGACTCTTGAATCAAACAAATCAAGATGAAATAGGGTGTCAAAAATGAAGTTAAAATGCTCATGCAAGTGAATAAGTAAACCATTTCTCACTTATTTATGCTTGTTTTGGTGAAAAAAAACATGCGGGTCTTACAATTTCCTTTCCATAATTGATTAACAAAGGAACATATGCAAAGTTTCGATAATATACATCACCAACACCAATATGATTTTCAAACCGAATGAATCAAGACAAAATAAAGTGTTGGAGATGATGTTAAAACGCTCACCTAGGTGAATAAGTAACTCATTTCTCACTTATTGCTTGTTTTAGTGAAGAAAAAAAAATGGGGATCCTACAATTTCCTTTCCATAATCGATTAACAAAGCAACATGCAAAGTTTTAGTAACATACATCACCAACAACAATATGGTTCTCAAATCAAATGAATCAAGACAAAATAAAGTGTTAGAGATGAAGTTAAAACCCCCACACATGTGAGTTGGTAAACCATTTCTCACTTATTTATGCTTGTTTTAGTGAAGGAAGAAAGACACGTGAGTCCTACAATTTTCTTTCCATAATCAATTAACAGAGGTTTGTTTGAGGACAAACAAATTTCTAAGTTGGGGGTAGCTATGCAGAGTTTTAGTAGCGTACACCACCACTAATATGGTTCTTGAATAATCAAACAAATCAAGACGAAAAAAAGTGTTAGAGTTGAAGTTAAAACGCTCACGCAAGTAAATAAGTAACTCACTTCTCACTTATTTATGCTTGTTTTAGTGAAAAAAAGACATTCAGGTCCTACAATTTCCTTTCCATAACTGATTAACAAAGGAACGTATGCAAAGTTTTGACAACATACATCACCAACATCGGTATGATTTTCAAATCGAATGAATCAAGTCAAAATAAATTGTTGGAGATGAAGTTAAAATGCTCACGCGTGTGAATAAGTAATTCATTTCTCACTTATTACTTGTTTTAGTGAAGAAAAAAAGAAATGTAGGTCCTACAATTTTCTTTTCCTAATAGATTAATAGAGGTAGACATGCAGAGTTTTAGTAACGAACATTATTAATACCAATTTGGTTCTCAAATTAAACCAATCAGAGACAAAACATAGTAAAGATAAAAAAACACTCCCACATGTGAATAAGTAACTCATTTATCACTTATTTGTGTTTGTTTTAATGAAAAAAAAAAAAGACACGTGAGTCTCATAATTTCCTATATGTAATCAATTAGTAAAGTAACATATGCAAAGTTTTACTAACGTAAATCACCAACACCAATCTAATTATCAAATCAAACCGATCAAGATAAAACAAAGTGTTAGAAATGAAGTTATAATACTTATACATATAAATGAGTAATTCATTCACTAGTGCAAAAATTGGATTTAAAATCGGAGTTTTAAGATTGGTTATAAGTTAACCGATCTTAAAAGTGACGCGGTGGCAATTTCGTAAATAACATGAACCCTTTTAAGATCGGTTAAATTTTACACCGATCTTAAAAGTGACGCGGAGGCAATTTCGTAAATAACATGAACCCTTTTAAGATCGGTTAAATTTTACACCGATCTTAAAAGTGGTACTTTTAAGATCGGTTACAAAACAACCGATCTTAAAAGCACTTTTAAGATCAGTTATGAGAGAATTGATCTTAAAAGTGCCACTTTTAAGATCGGTTATCTCATAACCGATTTTGTATGTGGTATACAAAATCGGTTCTTAATTAACCGATTTTAAAAGTATCGTCAGAAATCTTTTATATTCCCTTCCATTCTCATTTTCTAAAGTCTCCAGGTAAATTTCATTTTCATTTTCGTCTGCTTATGTTCTTTTTGTGTTTCTCATTCTTTTCTCGTTTCAATTTTCGTTGCAGGTGCAGTTTGGGAAAATTTTGAAGCTGGAACGGCCCGTACTCCTAGGAGAACGACCCGTACTCCTTGCAGAACGGACCGTTCTCCAAGTGATTTTTTTGGTCTTTTAATCCGACTGGAACGGCCCGTTCCAGTTTAATTTTTTTTCACAACCAGACTTTTAAGATCGGTTATAAAACAACCGATTTTAAAAGTTGACTTTTAAAATTGGTTGTTTAACCGATTTTAAAAGTCTAACTTTTAAAATTGGATCTTTCAAAATCGGTTACAGAACCAATTTTAAAAGTAAAAAATAACCGATTTTAAAAGTCTTTTTTCTACTAGTGATTTTTCACTTATTTCTGCCTATTTTAATGAAGAATAAAAGCACGTGTATATCGTATAATTTTTTTTTTTGTAAATGATTAATAAAGGAACATATGCAATGTTTTGGTAACAAACCAACAACACTAATCTGGTCTCAAACCAAATCAATAAAGACACAATAGAGTGTTGGAGATGAAGTTAAAGTGCTCACATACATAAATAAATAACTTATTTCTTATTTATTTTTGCTTGCTGTGATAAATGAAAAAAAAATAGATATTGGTGTTATATTTCTTAAAATC